TTTTTTTTTTTTTTTTTTTTTGCTTTATAGTCTATGTCTTTCTGCAGAGAGGAGATACTTGATTAAAGATCATGAAGGACACTTAAGAGATATTTGTACTTTTGAATGAAAATATTATACCTACATGCAAGTGAGTTTTCATTTATTTCCATTTGACTGTTTGCTTTTGGTGAGAACATTCTTTTTTCTCCTATAGCACAACTTAAGCCAAGTATTATTGTTTATCATCTGGGTGTGCTGGCTTAGTGTCTCCAAAAGCTATGGAAACAACTAATGATATTTACAGTTTCCAAGTCTGAGGAAAGGAAGATGCAATGGAATTTGCAACCCATTCAACCTAGAAAGCAGAAAATCAAAAAGACTCATGAAAGCAGAACTATTAAGTAGAATCACAGGGGTGTGGGCCAATAGCAGGTTTGGTATATTAATCCACCACCAGTTGATGTGTACATATTAGGGCTAAAGACTTAGCTGATATTTGAGCAAGAAATTCCCAAAGCAGTAAAAGCATTGCAAAAGATCTCTATGTCCATGCAGATACATACCAGTAATATGGAAAAACAACTTCTGGAAAGAGCCCTTCCTGCTTGCTATAACTTTTAAGAGACCAAAATAATGCTGCCTTTACTGCTTCTGAGAGTATAACACATGAGATCCCACTTCCCTCTGGCTTATCATTTTACAAAGTCTTGAAGGTCAATCATGCAGTCTAAACTTCACAAAGTAAGAACATACAAATGACAGGACCACCAAATTTAGAAAATGTCCTACAATGTGCATTTTATTTCATATCATTATACAATGTTTACATATAGTTATAATTCTCAAGAAAATGTATTTTCTTTACCAATTGTATGTAGTGCCTACACCTTTCACTTTAACATGGACAATGGGAAAGAGTGGAAATCCACATTGAATGCTCTTCTACAGAAGTTGTAATGGGCTGCAAGTGTGCCAATCAGAAAGGAATGGAAGCCTTAGAAGAGCAGTGTGGCTTTCAAATCCTTGGCTTCAGTGAACACAGGCATACTGGATCCATAGTTTCATCTTGCAGTAAAACTCAAGACAAAATAGTGTTGGACAAAATTCTAAATTGTACAATATTGAACAAAAGACCACAGGGGACATTTTATTTAAAGTAGCACCAATCCACAACTGATTGTCTCCGACATCAATCTTCCTGTTGCCCCTATCATTGGCACTTTGAGTGGAAATCTTTCTGCTTCAGTGAGGAGTCTTCCACTGACTAAGCAAACTGTGTGGCTAAACTCTACGTAAAGTGTGGCAATGTCAACCTGGGAAATGGCACATTTAAACCATTATTGCCCTAACATGGGCTTGCCTTTTTTGGTGTTTTCTCCCTACCTCCTGCCCTAGCTGGTGTTTTGTGGATGTTTTTGTGATGGTGGTAAAAGTAAATAAAAATGCATTTAAGGGGTATCATGGTAAGCAGGTGTTTAGAAACAAAACAACAAAAAATAAAATAAAAGAATGTGGCCGCAGCTAAGGAGGTTTTCACATGTTGTTTAACTCCAGTAAAGTCTGATCCAGCATCTGATGCATACTAAGGTTTTCTTCTTTGGCATGAGCCACTTTCTCTGTGGTGGGATTAGAAAATTAAGTCATGAATAGCTGTGCTTTGGACACAGTGGTGCTTTGTACATTCAGGCAGGCAAACATCAATCACAAACACAGAATGAGATGATTAGAACTAGGCATGCTTTTAAGACATTACTCATTTCTAGACAAGGACTTAAGATGGGGAAGACATCTTTAACCCAAAGGAACCACAGGCACAGCAGAGTCTTAGTGTGGTCAGAGACACCAGCACCAATAATCCGCCCTGAGAATAAAATGCAGGGTGGGTTTGGTGAAGGTTTACCGATTGTATGCTGTGGGAATACAGAGAGGCAAAAACCAAATACAGCTTGCAGCATTATTATACAAACTGGAGAAATTAATATCAGCAGATGCTTCTGAGTTACAGGCAGTTAAAGGTCTGGGAGACGTGTTGTAACACGGCCTCACAGAAAACAAAGATGACATAATAGGTTTTGGACAACTTTTAAAATGATTTATTTCTGTTGCTCATAAAGTTATCAACATGTTTCATGCACACTTCATTAGGACATTCTCTTAATATTTTATAGTATTCTATTTAGTAGTAGCAAGACATTCTCATCAGATTCCAACAACACTATTAAACTGAATAAAGCATACCTTTCAGACAACCAGGGACTTCTGATATAAGCTCCTGTTTTCAAAAGCTATTTGCCCAAGCATAGGTACATTTAATTATATTTCAAACACTATACCATATATGAATAAGTTAGGAATACAAATATGTAATTATATATATACTTAAAGCGGGACTCACAGTTGTCTCTGTGAAATAGAAAACAAAAATTTTTTGGTCCTCATTATTGAAAGAGGAGGACCTGCTGTTGCAAAAAGAGTGCTGACTTGATTGTTATAAATATTTATCCACATATATAATATATGTATTTTATTTTACCATAAAAAATTGTTTGGGGATTAAAGAGAACTTAATTATTCCTGATATATAGAGGAAAAGACAGGCCAAGCCAGCGCCTTTCAGCCGATTCCTTTCATTTGCATTTCTGCAGAAGAAAGTACCGTTTTCCACCCTATTGGCTGAGGGTTGGACAGTCTTAGATTTCCTGCACATGGGCTCCATTCCTAGAATTCAGCCCAAGAATTTTTCACACTTTTTAATCCTCATTCAGGGCCAACTTTAGTTCATTAGTTAGGCGGCGGTTTTGTTCAAGTTGCTGGTAGAGCTGGTCTGTACAGGTCAGCAAGTAGGTTAGCAGAAAAGAAGAGGCAGAAGAGAGGTTAGGCAGACTTGGTGAGAGACAGTTAATAGAGAACACAGAGATACCTCAGGCAGGACAGCAACTGGTCACTTGCTGAGCAGTCTACCCTCACCCCATTGTCATCTGTCCAGGTTGGTAAAAGGCCTGGCAGAAGGGTCAGAATTTCTCTCTTGCAGGGAGAAGGGAAAGGGAGGCACAGGAAATGAGGAGAAAGAGTTATATTCCCCTTGTACCTTACTAAAATCATCTTATGAACTGATCCATGTGCAGCTTCTGGCAACAGATTTTGGAACTGAAACCAGGCTGGAGGCAAGTCCACATGTCATCCACCCCTTGCTAGGGCTCAGCAGAGATCCTAGGCGGAACTGTGACCTACCCATTTCTGCCCACTCTTCCAGGACCCCTTCCTCTCTGCTCACAGTGCAGGCTTTTCCCTCAGGTAATAGCAAGCAGGTGCCACTGCTTCTGCTGCATTGAAACTTTTTGAAATGCACAACTAAGCTCCTTGTTCTTCGGTCAATCACCAGGATACAGAGTACACATTCTCAACTCTTTGGTAATGTGTTCCTCTATTCAAGTAGCAAAATAACAAGCATTTATCTCTAATCAACATTGATTTAGGAGTTATGTTTAAGAGGATGGCATTTATGTTTGGTGCTAATGTATGTGTATAAAATGAACAAAACCTCAAACATCGCCACAAAGACCTGTGTGATACCATTTTTATATACTGAGATGCAATCTGCTCAGGTGGCATAACAATCTGTTACCTGGTGATATAAGGGATACCTAATGACAACCAAGAGACTGGTACCCACCAGTCTAAAACTGAGAAACATGATTAGAGTGATGGTGATCACCTGGACCTAAAAATTCTACTTAATCATCTTGGTAAGCTAATAGTTTTACTCCTTGGGGAAAATGTGCTGACTATAGCCCCCAGGCCTATTGGGAAATTGAGCAGATTTCCTGATAACTTTCTTTCCTAAACAGCAGGAGATGGGTAAGATGCTATGCTCATTGTTTACTAGCTCACTGTGAGATGCTATGCCCAACATCTGTTGCTTTTTTTCTCTTTGCCAATTCAAATTTTCTGAATATTCACAGTTAATTGTCACCTCCTCCAGGTAGCTCCCAGTTACAATCATTTACTGTTCCTTGCCAACTCAAAACACAAAAAGTCTATTGGACTCACCTCACTCATCTATCTCTGCACAAGATGGCTAGCTCATGGAGGGCAAAGAACACTTTCAGCTCATCTTTTTCCATACTCCTACTACCTTCCAGTGTCCTGCATGTAGCATGTGCTTCAGAGTTACGAAAATGTACAATTCCCCCCCACTCAGTATTGGGTATTGAACCCAGAGGCACTCTACCACTGAACTATATCCCCAGACATTATTTATATTTTGAGACAGAATCTCACCAAGTTGCCAAGGTTAGCCTCAAACTTGCAATTCTGCCTCATTCTCCCAAGTCACTGGGATTACAGAGATGGGCCACCACACCCAGTGGGGGGTTGCAAACCCCATTACTATGTTCACACTATCTTTATGGGAAACTGATGCCACAGGCAAACAGGCTGCTGAGCCCAATCGAATGTTTGATCCAGCAGGAACGAAGAACTTTAGAGAAACCCCCGAAGATTCCAGAGGGCCAATGTAAATTCAGTTTCAATGACAGTGGTCCCTGTTTCAGCCTCTTTTGAGCTTGCTCCCCTTCACCTGTCATGGAGCTCTTGTGCCTATCTGACCTGGGGGCATATGCATTTGGAAGTACTTTCCCCTCCTGTCTACTGGACTCCCAGATGTCTGAGGACTTCAATGCCCAGATTCAGTAATGCTTTTGGTTTGGTCCAATAGAGGCTCTTGCAGCAGCTGCAGCTTTGGCCTAACCCTCTGAACTAGAAGCCTGGCCTCAACAATTTCTTGATTAACTCAACTTGTGGTTTAACTTTCTTCTGCTCACCTTCTTAGGCTACAAGACCTGCTCTCTTGATCCACTGCCTTCCTATTTCCTTTGTAGGCAATACTTGAAAAATGTGTGTGAAATCTCTGGTAGGTTTTTCAATAAAGAGTTGTGCCTCCAGGCTTTAGTGAACATCTGCTCAGCAGAACGTTCAGACTTGTCATTTTGTCTATAGCAGGATTACTCAGAGATGGGTCACTTTCATTATTCTGAATTTTAAAAAAGAACAAGGCAGGAATCATGGCAAAAACAGGTCTAAGAAGCCTTAGCAAAAGAAAAAAAAAATTCAGAGGCATTTGTATTCCCAAGGGAAAGACGCTGTCCAGATTCTAAATTTAAAAATGTCTACCATACCATTACTAAAATACTTTAATTCAGAGTCTTAAAAAAAAAGTACTCTCTCTTTTCTCTGAAGACTTCGTAAAGGAACTGACGCCATTTTCAGAGTTTTCCAAAAATTTTTAAGTACAGTGGTATATGAGTCCTTGTATACTATCAAATAGTATACAAAAAACAGATGAAGATGACCCATGTTTAAAACACAGAAGAAATAGAGCCAGACTGTTAAGGAAGGAGAAATGTTGAACATTAAGGAGCTAAAGTCTCCCATCTGTTTAAAGTTCTAATTTTGTAATTTAAAAAAAAAATTCACTTAACTGCTGTTTGTGAATTAAAATAGTGAAGCCTAAATAAAATACAACTGTGTTCTCAATAATTCCCACCAACTACTTTTTTTGGGGATTAAAAAGAATAATAATAATCAACTAATGGCTATAATTTAAAAATGTTCATAAATGAAGAAAAAGCTCAGCTACTAAACAGGAAGATTATATAGTACAACCCCTAAGAAATACATGATATGCTTATGAACACAAAAATAAACCTTGACTCAACTACAGCTGCCATATTTAGAAAACCTATCATGTCATTTCATGACCAAAATGAAGGATTCAGTAAGGAATAAACTAAGAAAACCTTGAACTTGTCTTTGTGTTGTAATCACAATTTACATCGTTTGAATCCAAGTTCCTTTCCACTTTCCCACTATGGAAATTCCTAGCTCAGTGGGACAGCTGTGTAGCCATTCATCATAAGCCTTTCATTAGTGAGCCATGTCCTCTGTATCTTGCCATGGCCCAATCTAGACCTCTGGCAGAGGAAGACACTGCTCAAGCCAGATCTTCTGACTCCCAACAAGCACTGTCCCCTGTGCAGAGATTCTCAACCCACACTTCATGCCAGAACTATTTCAGTTCCTAAAACTCACAGAGGCCTGGCCCTCACTCTAACTTCTGGAAAGCAAAACCCTCAGAGGGATGCAAGCGTGTGTATTTTTTTTTTTAATATAAAAGTTCCAGGAGGAACTACTGGTTTAGAAACTCTTGATATTAACACAAAAATGTTCAGAAAAAGAAAACAAAAACAAAAACAAAAAACAGAAAAGCAGCAGCCAAAAATCAACCCTCATATGAATGAAGCAGAATTGTAGTTTTATTCAGTGTTGAAACCAAAACGTCAATAAATAAGAAGTAAAAAGAATAGCAAACAGCAATAGCTTACACAGTGTTTATTTTACACTGGAACGAAGAGCTTCTATACAATAGAAAGCACAGTATGTGCCTGGCCCTAAGGCAGGTGCTAAGAGAAAGAACCAGGTCAGCTGGAGAACAGATAAGTGCAGAGCTGAGAGGTGGGATATCCAGCTTGATGAAGGAGTCTTGGGAGAAGTGAAGCAAAGAAATTTATCTGCATGAAGAGAAAAGGTGGGAGAAAGAGAAAAAAAAAAGTGGCATAATGGAAAAAAGGAAGACAAAACTTACAGAGGAGAGCAGCACTTGAATCACAGGCAAGAGGCAGACATGCTTGCAAAACCCACTGTCAGCTGTACCTTGTACTGGCCCTAGTCTAGACTAGGGGCTATCTCGGGTCAACTTTTGGGGAAAATCCATGAACAGAATTTAAACCCTATTGTCAGGACTTTTCTTCATATTTAACACTTAAAGTTTGTCCCACAGAATCACATTTTAGCACTAGAGAGGACCTCAGAGAAAAATGATCTGCCTCATCCCCTCATTTGCAAATGAGGGAGGAGGTTTTCTTTCTAGTTTCCATGGTGACAGCCACTTTATAAGGGTGTGCCCCTGTCCCCCAACCCCATCCCAGTGTGGAGATTCTATATCTCTAAGGCAGCAGGCACATGCCACACTCCTAAAGTTACTGCCTTTCTGCATGGGTAAAGAAATGACAGGTGGGCCTAGAGAGCAACTTGTCCAGCTTTACTGGAATCTAGTGTGATTAGAATGAAAAGCCCTCTGTGAAACATTCCAGGTTAGAATTTAAAGAGGCAGATTAGTTTAATGTTTAAGTTTGGTTAGTGATATGCAAATCAGTTGTGTATGCTTATGGTTCTCCTGAGAACAAGCTACCTACTCCAACTCTTTATAGCTTCTCAAGAGTAAAATCTGGGCCATTAACCCCCAAATTCATAATGTGTAAGCTGTGTTTTATTTACCACCTCCCCTCTTTTAGGTCACAGCTTGTAGCAAATGTTTACTGTGGACATTTTAATTCCTTTTCACATAAACATAGAAATTAAAGGTGTGGTCACACATTGAAGCAATCACATTGCTCTAGAACTTTCATAAGTGAGGAAGAGAAGATCATTTTCAGAATCACTCCTTAGGCTATACTGGGTCATTTCCTTTTCCTCAGATCCTCAATAATCTGATATTTTGGGGTTTTCTTAAATTTACATTTCTTTTATGAAAATGATCATATTGTACTTCATGGAATCTCAGGAAACGAAATTTGATATTTCTTGAAAAATCCCTGCACAATTACCTAGTTTTACTCAAATCTAGTTTAATTTCTTGAAAGGATAGTATTCAAGGTCATTCATATTCCAGTTCATCATTTGGTGGGGACAATCTAATTCAGTGTTTACCAAAGAAAAGGATTCTAAAAGGAGAATGGTTTCCACAAAATGAATCTTCTTGGTCTTTCTATTAGTATGATGGTTATACAAGAGAGCAAACAGAAGAGTGCAAAGATGGAGGTCATGGAGCAGGAAGGGAGCGGTGGTGAGGCTATCACATAAGCATGAGGGCACAGGTGTGAGCAGGCGGATGCATGAGCATTTACATGGAAGTCATATCGTTGAGAGCGTGGTCCAGCTCCTCGCTGATGGCCTTGTACTTCAGTTTCTGAGCATACAGCTCGTCTAGGACCAGGAAGTGGAAGGCAGAGATGCAAGGACATGGAGAGTGATCAAGAGATGGAGGGTGAGCGAGGGTGGCGCAGGCGCCATCCCAACACAGCAGCAAGGAAAGGGCAATGCATGAAGGGGTTGGTGCCGCAGCAGGTGCCAACGCAGGAGGCGTGCGTTTTGTTTTTAAATAAATTGAAACAAAAACAAAGAGAACAAAACCCATTAGAAATTAAAATGAGAAAGACTCGATATGAAAATCATAAATACTGTAGGGCATATCAGTAAACCATGCTAAGTCCTAAACAAAACTACAGAAGGCTGTCTCTCCTGGTGGGAAATGGAACATCTTTCTTTTTATAGAGCTATATTTTAATTATACCAGAGTAGTCAGCCACCTGTCGCTATAAACAATGGAAAAAAATATTCAAAGGCAGTGTTTTGGAAGAACAACTTTCGATTAAAGCCTATAATCCTTATCTAGCTCCACCTTCAAACCACTGACTTCCTGACCAAACTAGACCATGGGATATTGATTTTTTAGTGTCATTTAAACTACTCCTGTGGTCTTCCCTCCAGAGCTGCTTGTACCTTAGTCTAGGAACCTTGAAAAGCATAGAAAGCCACACTTTCAATTGTATACCAGCAGACTGTTTGCGACCATATGTCATTCTTTTTCTCCACTATGGTTATTATTATCTGTACCAGCCTCTAGTCCCTTCTCCAACTCCTTCTGCCCACAATAAACATTTTTTTTCTTCATAAGTCTCAGAATTCAACATTTAGGATTTCTGTGAGATAGAGTCAGTGTCACTCAAATAAAACCTACGTGCCTTGGGGGAGAAATGCTTAAGCATAATCTCAAAATATTATTCCCTATTGGTTCCTATCTTCCTTTTAGGATACAGATTATTGTACCAATGAATGACTGACAGTACCCAAGCCCTTCCACTGAATTCATACTTGGGAGAAGATGGGTTGTGTCTAAAACCAATGCACATCATTCTGATAATTAGGAGGTATCACTAAAGAAATAAAATATACCAGAGTCACTCTCATCTATAAGCATCTCACTCACGATGAAAATTAAACCCACTACCTTCTGAGGAGTGTAAAATGCTGGGGGGGCATTTGCCATTTCAAAAAGAGACATGTGCTGCCTGGTGGTTAACCAGTCACCTGAAGAACTAAGGACTCAGGTCCAAGAGTTTAAGAGCCACAGATGAAAATCCCAGAGGAAGTTAGAAAAAAAGTGCAGGAACAAAGAAGTTTATCCAGGTAGATGCACTTGGATTGGACAATTGTATGCCAGGTCAGTATTCAACCATGAGGATTAAATGAAAAACAATATTTAAGATCTTACCTTCTAAGTCATCAATGCTTTTCTCCAATTTAGTTACTGACCTCTCGGCAAACTCAGCCCGAGTCTCAGCCTGTAATGATTTAATTTATCTAAGTCAAAGTTTAAAAAGTTTCACAGTTCTAGTAGTCACAAATACAGGGAAAACTAGAGAATGGACATGAGGCATCTCACCCATGAAATGGATTTAAAACTATCTGTCAGTTTTAGTCACTACTGTGGGCAATGGGAACTAGCATAGTATGTTAATTCCAAGACTACCTCTGAATAACTCTGGCTTGAATTAGTAACTTTAAAAGCAAAAAATTCCTGACCAGCTTCATGGACATAAATATGATCAAAATCCAGTTGACTTCATCCAAAATTCTTATGTTATTATTACCTCCTTCAGCTTGTCAGAAAGGACCTTGATCTCTTCCTCATATTTGTCTTCCTTCTGAGAGTACTGTAATTAGAAAGAGCATTCCAGATGTCAAGCTGTGGCTGTTTTCATCCCCTCTAACAAAAAGAACTCGCCAGCTCAACCAACAGATGTTAAGGATCTCCGAGGCAGTAACAGAACCTCCAATATCAAATGGCATACTATAATACATTCTCTGCTTTCTAGCCTATTGTTTTACATAGGATAAGAACAAGAACAAGATAACTTATCCACCTGGCACTCTGTTTAAATTAAATTGATGACTCACATACTCGACATAAAATATTCTCTATGAAAAAAATTATAAAAATACCCCCTGTATCCAATAACCACTAGAAATCATCTAAAAAATTTGCCATTTATTAAAATGTCTACTGTGCCAGTGCTTTCATCAGCAGGGCCTCTTTTGAGCAGCTCTTAAAAGATGTGTTCCCCACACCATGCTCCTGGCCTACCTTCTCAGCCTGAGCCTCCAGTGACTTCAAGTTGTTGGTCACAGTTTTCAATTCTTCTTCAAGCTCGGCACATTTGCTAATGTTTTCGATCAGAGGCAGAAAGGGTGGGAGACAAGCCAAAGGAAGGAAGAGAGAAAAGGGGGGGGATTGGGAAAAATTGAAACCCAGTTCTTGGGGTTGAGGGGTTGCTTTAAGTTGGCCAACTTTTCGGTTTTGAAACGGCTCAATTTTGCCATGGACATTGCCTCCCAACTTTGCAACAGTGGAAAGGCAGGATCACAAAATTGAGCAACTGAAGTGTGATAATTTGGCTTCTTATTTGGCTGCCTCTAAGAGCATTTATAAAGGGAAAAACAAAGGAGCGTAAAGGACCAAGAGAAAGCACTTAAAGCAAGATATAAATAGCAGAGGGTGTAGTGAAGGTGCAGTCGTTACATCAAACCAACCAGTAGGCATTGGAAGCTGAAAGACGCCTGGGTTTCAGTTAAACCTAAAAACCACACATGAGCCATCAGTACCTTATCCTCTGCAGCCATTAATGCTTTCAAGGTCTGATCCATTATTCTTAATTGTTCTTCCAGCTGTCGAACTTGGCTGTTAGTGGACACAGGAAATGCACAAGGCCATTCACAAAATCAGTGTGCAGGTAAGGCATGCAGTGATACACGCATTCATACATAGACACCCCACACGAGTCCTCCGTGTTCCATACTTGTGGCTCATCCACAACAAATGAGCACAAAAGGAGCCCGGAGCTGAAATAGGTAAATGTGCAGCTGCCAGAAGGTCATGCTGTTTAGTCACTGCTCTGCAGCACCCCACACGCTCCTGGTGCTGGGCCCGCTTACCCTTCTGAGAGCTCAGCCCGCTCCTCTGCACGTTCCAGGTCACTTTCAATGATGACCAGCTTACGGGCTACCTGCAGCAGGACAAACACAGTACACACACATTGTGGGGCTTGTGTATTTTGTATAAGGGTTGTTTGGGTGGGAATCAGGCTGCATCAGCCCATACAGATTCCTGTCTACATACAGGATCCTCCCCATTTGGGGAGACTGAAGAGAAGCAACTTTCCCTCAGGAGTGCTGACAGACAGGAGGCCAGAGTCTTTGCTCACCAAGACCCAGAATGGACAGCTACAATTTTGCAATATCAATCTGAAGTCTGACCCAGGTGAAATCTACATAATTACATAATAGCCAGACCAGAGTGTGGAATGAGAGTGAAATATGAAATCCAGTCTCAAAAAATAACATACTGCTATTAGTATGCAAACATACTGCTCACCATACTTCTCATTAAGAAACCCATTTAATACTGAAAAACTAGGGACTGCCAAGAAACCATGAAAATAAACCTAGGAATTCCACCAATACAGAGTTCTGTGCCACAGCCTCCTTTTTGTGGAGGCAATTTAAGAAGGCAAAAGAAATTAACATGAGATGTGGTGGTGAGATGACTAACAAGGTCAAATCTGTATTCAGTGGAAGAAAGAACCTGAGAGAAGGGATCCTCTGAAGCAATTCAAAATTAGCAAGCACAGTATAATCTGGAGAAAGGTCAGTGCTGTTTCAGGGAGTCATGATGTGATACAATGAGGAAAAAACTAAAACTTTGACAGTCATGTTGACTCTGTTATCACAGGTCATTGTCACGGTAATATGACCAGGAGCTGATTCTCCTGAGAACCTGTGCTAACAGAGGATTTCCAAGACCTGGGAGGAGAGGCCTTCATGAATCTATTAAGTAGATGCTACTCAGTTGCCTGAACTGGACTGCTAGGTGGATCACACTGAAAGAAATACTTGCATAAGGACAGCCTGAGCATCCTTTCCCAAGGGTTCACCTTTCCCATTTCCTGGCCAAAGACCTTTTATCCTGGTCATTAGGGAAGGGAGTTTTAATTCTTCTTCCCAGTGCCATTGACTAGCTTCCTGATAAAGGCTGGGATCCCCTAGCTGGATCAAAATAAGAACCATTTTCTGGAGTCAAAGAAATTTGCTTCTCAAAACTACCCATTTCTACCAAGGAAACAGACTGCTTCCCTCAGGAATCAAGGCTATGTATGTTCCCTGAACCCCAGAAGACCAGGAATTGATGAGGCTTTGGGCGCTAGGATCTGACCTCTTCATATTTTCGGTCGGCATCTTCAGCAATGTGCTTGGCCTCTTTCAGTTGGATCTCCTGAATTTCCATTTTTTCTTCATCCTTTTGGGCTCTACTTTCAATGACTTTCATGCCTCTGGAAAGAAAGACAAGTACAAAACCCAAGATTTAGAGTTGACCTTACCAGACTCATATTTCTTTGACCTTCCTAGAATCATACTGTCCTGCTGTGGTCTGAGAGGTTTAGATCAAAATAGAGCACAGAACTACTTTTTATTTTTTACCCCCAAACCATGAAGCAAGACCTTCTAGTGCTAAAGGCAGAAAAAAAGACACATTTCTCTCTGCTCATTGTGCTTATACTTTGGGTACTGCAGAACCTGTCCAGGCACTTTATGTTAAGTCAGAGGAACAATATTAGGGTCCCATTAGAATCTGGAAGGCATGGAAACAAGAAAAGCCAAGATGCTTTATTTGTTAAATAAATAAAGGAATTTCTTTCCTTTCCTGAGGGAAGTCTGTTTGAAAATTACAAAAGCTACAATCAAAGCAAATTTATTTTTGTGTACCTCTTTCTATAAAAAAAAGGTTTTTCCCCATCAACCACAAACAAAAACAGTAGACTAGCCCATAAGAAACTGCTGATGTTTGAGCATTTTGGACCTATAAAAGTAGCAGTTTTAGTAGAGTCAACTGAATTCTTTAGATAAGAAACCAAGTTTTACTTCTAATGGAACCCTCTCTAAATAGGGAGGTTGGGAGGGATTGATACTAGCTTCTACATCGATCTGTATATTAGGGTCCTATGGCATGGTGTTACATTTCAGAAAATGTTAACTGATCTATGATATATTAAAGATTTATGGAATAAGAAGTCATGTTAAAATGGGACTCATTTACAAAATTTAAGTAGGCAATAAATAAACCACTATTTTTTTATCTAGTACTAGAATATACTTAAGGAGACCCAAGGTCCAGCTTTGGCTTAGATGCAAATATGCTATCAGCCTTTGGGCAGTGATAGTCTCTGAGCCTTAGTTTTCTTATTTTTCCTTCAGGGGATTGGAGTAGATGATCTCTAAGTTCCTTTTACTCCACGGTCTAACATTATCGGACCATATTTACAGTTCACTAACAGGTATATTTCAGGAGGAAGTTAGCTACAACATCACTGTTATATATACACTGTAAGAGATAATCAGTCATCATGAAGAATTTCAAAACTCTTGGCCAGTGAAGAAACACTAATTAGTAGTAAATAATGAGGTGACAACTGAAGCTAAAAACCTTCTTGAACCCTAAAGTCTGAAATCACTTTTATATGTGATAGCAGGGAGCAGAGGCTTGCTGTAAAGATGCAGAAATGGATAAATGACTGACTACATTCTCCTGCCCAGGTTACAACACAGGCAGTCACACTTGTAGTGTTCTAACACATCATCCCTCAAGCAGAACTCTCTTACCTCATTGAGTCTTTCCTGAAGTTCTTCTTTACAATGTGGCAAATACATTAACTTGAACAGTTGAGCACAGAAGAAAAAACCTTCTGGGATGCATGAGGTTAGTTGTGCTGCTGTATATGGACCATGGTTTCCCTTTCCTACCACAGGTGGCATCTTACAGTAATAAGCCAGGTAGAGTCATGTTACAATGGAGGTGGGCTCAGAGCACACAAGTACCTGACTTATTTGTATGTTTGGCAGTGTCTTGTCCGCAATTAATCCTAGTCCAAAACAAATTTACTTCTGCAGATCACATTTCTGTTTTATCTGGGCTTCTTTCTTCCACCTATTTGACAACTAAGAGCCCACAGTTTCTGACCCAGGCCCAAGACTCCTTGGTGTATTTTAAAATAAAGTAGTTATTATTATTTTTTTTAAATGCACAATTGCTCTGTGGGTCAGCTGGAATTAAAGAACCACTACATATCCCTGAAACTTTTCATTTCCAAGTCTGTCTCCCTTGTTGGGTGGTGCTCTGTGAGGACCAGAACAGTATCTGTTTCTTCTCTATAACTCTAGAGCTTAGAATAGTGCTTTGCACACATTCAGTATTCTATTTATTTTATTATTATTATTGTTTTTGGTGGTGCTGGGAATTGAACCTAGGGCCTTCTGCATGTTGGACAAGACCTCTACCATTGAGCTCCAGCTCTAGCCCTTTTCTTCTTATTTTAAAGAAACAAAATCAAACTACACATGTGATCAACTGAAGAGATGACTCCACTGAAGGCTGTAAAATTGTTAAACCTCAAAGATCAGAGGAGCTTCCTGTTCATCCTGCCAGGAGGAAAGGCTTGTGCTAAAATGGCTGGATGAGACGTTCTCACCTCTCGCTTTCATCTGCTGCTTTTTCAGCCTCCTCCAGCTTCTGCAAAGCTGTTGCCAGACGCTCCTGAGCACGATCCAACTCTTCCTCAACCAGCTGGATGCGTCTGTTCAGAGAAGCTACATCAGCTTCAGCCTAGGCAGAGAGAGTGGAAGGCCTTTCAGAGCTGGAGAGAAAGTGAAGGTGGCACTTACAGAAAGTGGCTGATTTTAGATAGGACGTGTGGTCCTAGTGGTCAGTTAAAAGTGCATTACAAGCCCTCATCAACTTTGGAGTTCTCAGAAATGTACATATGTTGAATTACAAAGTGAGCATCCATATTTACACACAATTTTTATCAAATAAATGTACCATTAGCAAAGATTCACATAAGCCCATTTCTCACCCTAGTATTACTTGTCCATTGAAGGAGAGTTTTATCGCAGCCACCTCATTCACTAGGGGCCTGAGGTGTAGATAAAGACAACAAGACTTACCCAGAGATTCAGCCACTTAAGACAACAGCAGTACCACAGAAATTGGAACCAGCAGTTTCATTAAATTCTCTTTTTTTTCTGAAACCACTTTCTCAAAGAAGCCTTACAAAGGAACTAAATACTCAAAAATCCAGTAGTTTAAAAATACATACCACATGGAGACCTAACACAATTTTAGAAAGCTTCCATCTCTCACCCCCGCCTTTTCAGGAACTCCTTCAAAATAAGTGGTCACACCAGAAAGAGGCCAAGACAAATCTCCCAAGAGTTTTTGTCCTAAGCCTACTGGATATTCTTACAAGTCAAGATTGCTACAAGAAAAGTTTCAAACTCTTATGGAGAAAAGGAATACAGATAATGTTTTTACTTGGAATCTATGCTTCTTTGGGGGTACTGGGGATTGAACTCTGGGGCACTCGACCACTGAGTCACATCCCCAGCCCTATTTTGTATTTTATTTAGAGACAAGGTCTCACTGAGTTGCTTAGCTTCTCACTTATTTACTGAGGCTGGCTTTGAACTCTTGATCCTCCAGCCTCAGCCTCCGGAGCCGCTAGGATTATAGGCATGTGCCACCTGCCCAGCTGAAATCTATCTTTTAAATAAAAATTTCCTTCCCGGATACAGATACTACCTCCTGTCATACACATTTGTTACTATATTTGAGAATACTAGAAATGTTGTAAAGGTGGCCATTCAAATTTTTATTGCGTGGAAGTGAAGATGGAACTTACTAATTAGGTACTATTTATTCATCTTTATCCACTTTGAATGTACATCTATCAAGGGGTGATGGGTTTTCAGGACATGTAGATTTCTAAATATTACAATATACACCTCAGGACCCACAGTAGTTCTTTATATACTTCTCTGTGTTTTTTGTGCTCTATGCTCTTCTTATTTTTTATTTATATATATATATATATACACATATATATATATATAAATACACATGTGCGTGCGCACACACACATATATATGTAAATATGCAATTCTCTGCAGAGTATAGACTCAACAAATGTCTATTCAATCAAATACGTAAAACCATTCTAATTTAAACAATAGCAATTTTCCTAGCTCATGGCCCCATGACAGAGTTTGAAATGCACACGTAGTTAGAGAGAGGTTGTGGTCATGGCCTTGAGTCAAAGGAATATGAAAGAACATTCAGCTTTTTGCTCATTTAGATTTGTAAGATTTTAAATGCCAAGTTTTATCTGGGGAAGAGAGGTGAAAAAGGCACTTCCAACCATAAACACATTTAAATATACTTTTATCTCAACAAAAAACTATATGGTAATTGACAGATGGAGGCAGGGAGCAGAGCAAATGTGAAATGAATCCAAAAGGAACATTTACAACTGAACTGGCTCATAAAGTCAATCCTTATCAGTGTTCAGCTAGCAACTAGGTACAGCTAGGAATGGCTGGCAGGTAACCCTTGATTTCTGCTTGTTTTTGAAGGGTGAGGGCAATAAGGTAGGGAATTTTCAAAGTACAGGGAACTGCCTTTTAAAGTCATAGTCCCCCTTTTTTTTTTTCAGTTGTAAGAATGTATATACATTAAAGGTGCAATTTTGGGCCAAGTTAAATTTCTTCACTGTTTTATATTTTCCTTTTCCAGTAAAATTCTATTCCTTTTATGACTAGAGGTGGGGAACAGGGACAAGCAGTCAATCCTGAATGTTGAAATAATAAGGGTAAATATCCCCATTACAGATGCTGTGGCTTATCAGATAAATGGCAACAAGATTTTCAAAAACATTTTTGTAGACACCAAAGTCTGAGTTTCCTGATCTGCTTTAGATCTGGGTCCAAACCTTGAGAACTTGGTGCTCACAAAAAGGTGACTGTTTATTCTTTGGGGAAAGAACCTTCTGGGTGACAACTGGGTCTATGGCTCCAGCTCCTCACACAGTTGAAGCCCCAGAGAGGAAGGAGCGGGCACCCTGAGTTTATCCTTGCCTCTGGTATGCAAGACTACCCCACATGAAAGGCTCACTTCAATCAATCTCTACTTCCTACTGCCCCCACCAGCTTTATTCTTTCTTTTCCTTAGCCCTTGACTCTGTTTAGAAGAATATTATTTTGAAAATATCACTTACACTTCTGCCCCAGGAGCATTTTGTAGAACCTGATTCTCTGATAGTAGGGTATATCCTCCAAAACTAGTCTTCAGGGACTTACATAGGGTGTCCACACAATGGCAGGGAATGGAGACCTGTCTGTAGAAGCCAGTTTGACACAAAGATGGGACTGGTGCACTCACAGAGAACCTACCTATAGACAGCTGGCTCTTCCTGAGAAACTGATATAAGTAAACAAAATGGGGGTCTCATTTTTTTTCTTTAGCTGGAAGAATCCATGAGCATCATCTAGCTCCCACAACTGGCTAGGTGCCAGAATCAACTAGAATATGTGTATTAAAAATATAAACTTCCAGAGAGTTTCCCATCCCTTCCCCATCCCTAGAGATTCTGATTTAGGAGATCAGAGGGGCAGGGCAGGAATTTGCACTGTAAATAGGCAATCCCCTCCACTCCTCCAGCACCACCCCAAGAAGCTGTCAAATTCAGTGGATCAAATAGGACTATTCATCTACCTCTCAGCTTAAAAGAAGAGAGGGACCTCTGACCCAGAGTGCTGAAGCAAGCTCCTATATAGCCCTCAGTGGAAGACAGGACTAAACTCTCTATAATACTGATCTAACAAATTTTGTACAGTTCCTTGGAATTCAGGAAAAGTTTAATTTCATATTTTAATCAAGGCACTTTCTTTCTTTTTACTTTTCCTCCCCTTATTTACTATGCTCTGTGTTCAAAGGCTTATTCTCTCATTTCTGGTATTTTTTCCCCCCCGGAATTTTGAGTCTCCTCTAGATATTTTCTCAGGTTCTTTTTATCATAGCCTGGGTAGTTTTAAGGATCTGCTGCTACCTGTTAATACTAGTTCACAGACATGACCATTTGCTATTTAAAAGCAGTCAAATAACAAGGCACTCGGGAGGGTCAAAACCCTAGATACAATTTTTTTCCCCAAGGCATGTAAGTTACCCTTAGAGTACTGAGTTAGCTTTCTTCCAACAAGGGCCTATGTGTCCACACTGCGAGTGAAGACTTTCAGTCTGGGTTGCTAGTTTCTTTTATTTCAAAAGTGCTATTGTGTCCCAACATGTGATAAACTTCTCAGAAACAGACTGCTGCATTAGTAAGGCTACCAATGTCTTCTTGCAGATCTATTGTTAAACTACCACCTAGCACTCTGAACTTGTGAGGTCCTTAGGGTTGCACATGCCCCTCACCCCAGCAGGTACTAACTACCTATACAGAAGTCAAGCGCCTGCTCACTATTCCCACTCTTCTGTGTCCACCTACACAGAAAACAAAGGCACACATACTGTTATCCCACCTCAACAAAGTACAGAAATCAGTACATGCCCACCCAATATAGCAAAATGTTATTCCAAATAGGATTTGAAAAAGTCAAAAAATAAAATATCTTTATAAGGCCTGGGATTTTGAAGAGATCCAGATGTTTTAGCCAATACAAAACCAACAATTTAAAATTGCAATGATTTTTACTTTAAAAACAATGCCCCAGTTAGGGCTAATCACAAGAAATAGAGGTAGGAGAATAATATTGTATCCTTAAAATCAATCCTCTGGAATATATTTTCAAAGTCCTGCCTGAACCAGAGTGGATCATGGGATGACCAAAGTTCATATCTTTTTATTCATGTCAACCGTAGTTATACAGAGGTTTCTCCCAACTTGCTGTGTAAGATCAAGTGACTATAGCCAAGTTAAACTTCTGCCCTTATATGGTAAGGAAAAGGGGGAGGGAGACCCAAAACACTGATGACATTAGTGGCCACTCCCATGGATAGCAGATAAACACAACCTCGTCTATTTGTGCCAAAGCCTATAATTTATGAGGCATATTTGTATAATGAGGGAAAACAGACTTGAACAAGGCATTGTGGTGCCTCTGCTGTGCTACAGAGAGTGGAAATGGAGGGTACTGTATACATTCCAATTACAGCCACTTTGGGAGTGCCAATGCAAGCACAAAAAGCACTCTCAGTTTCCTGGTCCCAGAACTATTTACCAACTCTTCAGAGGGAAAGGGCTGGGCATTTTTGAAAACTGGTTATTTCCCATGACTTAATAAAGTTACCAACTAAGAACTTGCTGCAACTATAAGCCTCCTCATTTGCTGGGTACTATCCAGAAAGGAGAAAAATCTCTTTCTTGTTATCTTTTTTAAAAAAATAATAACAACAAACAAAACCCTTGTAGATCACAAGACCTACAGTCAACCATTACATCAAGCAAAGTAGCCTCATTCCAACATTTTGAAGGGCCCACACACCTTGGAAAAACAAACTAGGAGGAAATAAGGGATGGCTGCTCTTTCCAAGGTAAGTGTTGGTTTAGTAGGGCCAATTAATGAGAGCCTGTCAGAACCTCTGAGTATCTGAACTTCAGCCAACTCTCCAGTCAAATATTTTTTGCAGTGGTTCATGATTTTGTCGCTAAACCTTTATCTTTGCTGCCAAGAGAAACTCTTGCTGCTAGCTTGATTCATGGCTACCTAAATTAGCTACACTGAAGTTCTAGTTTTAGAAGTTAGGGACAACTCTCAATCGGAAAGTCTCCA